GGTGGGTGGGTGGGGAGAGATTAACCTAAGAACTTATATGCATATATGCATAACCCATGGACACAGACAATAGTGTGGTGAAAGCCTGGAGGGGTGGTGGTGGAGGGTATCAATGGGGGAAAAAGGGGTCATTTGTAATACTTTCAACAATAAAGAAAAATTAAAATTAAAAAAAAAAAAGAAGAGATAAGGATGACTGTGGGAAAAGTAGGTTTGTGGTAAGGTGAAGAAGTTGGGGAGATGTGAAAAAACTAGCAGAGGATTGAAAGAAACACAGCCAGAAAAATAGGAAAACCAGGAGCAAAATGACTAGAGCCCCAGTGAAGACAATGTTCCAAGGAGGAAGAAGTGACAAACTGTGACAGATGTCACCTATGTGTCAAGTCAGTTGAAGACTGAGCACCAACCATTGTTTTCGCAACATGGAGATCATTGCTGACTTTGACAGCAATCTTAGTGGACTGGTCCAGAGTGAAATCCCTTCTGGCACAAGTTAAAGTGAGAGTGAAAGGAGAGGAACTGGAGGTAGAATGGCAAAGTTTAAAAAGAATGGTAACCCACATCTGGCAAAAACAGTTGTGCTTATGTTCTTCTGCATGACAGAGACCACTGGGTGAACACCAAAATGCATTTCCCTTAATCTGGGCACAAACTAGAGTCCATTTTCCAGTCTTCCTTGCAGTCAGGTGTGGCCAGGAGACTAAGTTCTTTCCAGTGGAATGTGAGTCAGTCCCACGCCTGACCCCTAAAAGCCTCCCAGTAGCTCCTCTATGCTCTTGCCCCTTTCAATGGCTGCTGGCAGCAGGACGCAAGCCTCCGGGAGTAACAGAACCTCAAAAAAACAGGAGCCTGGGTCCCTGAATGACAATGCCAAGGACAGCTGCCCTGCTGACCTCAATGCCTCCAAGGACTGTTATAAGAGCAAGAGAAACAACTTCTGTGTTTAACCACCACAATTTTTGTGTCCATTTGTTACTGTGGCCTAGGCAACCATAAGTCATACACCACTACCTGTGCATGGAGGTAGTGAGGATGGCAAAGCCACCTCAGGAAGAGCTCAGAAATACACGGTGACACCAAAAACAAGCAGCAGTCACTTTGCAGGGTGTTTGCCTGGCTCATAAGCCAGTATTTGTCTTCTGAGACTCATCTCAGAGTGGGCCTCAGCAGCTGCCCTGATCATCCCCACCCCCATCCACCCCCAGCTGAATGGCCCAGCGGACTGGACATTTGAGTCAATAGCACCTATCAGATTACTTCTCCCAAGAGTTGATAATTGGGAATCAGTTATTCCAGTTGGCTTGAGATTCTGTGGTCTGTGGGTGGAGTGTGTACTGTGAACTGTCTTGGGAAGAGAGAGGAAGGGAAGGAGAGGAAAGGGAAGATGATGCCTACATTGTCAAGGACCAAGAGCCTTCCAAGTGTTTTTTAATTTTTAAAAATTGATTTTTTGAAAGAGAGGGAGGGGAAGAGATAGAAACATCGATGGGAGAGAAATGTTGATTGGCCACCGCCCACATGCCCCCCCCCCCAACTGGGAATCAAACTGGTGACCTCTTGGTGCATAGGTCAGTGCCACACCAGCCGGGCTCAAGTGTTTTTTGTAACTAAAAAAACCTTGGTTGAAAGATACCCTTTGAAACAGAAATTTAACTTCTAGAATTTGTCCTAAGGAAATAACTGGTCAAGTGAAGAAAGATGTATTTGTAAGAATCTTCACCACAGAGTTGTGCATAACAATAAAAACTAGTATCAATGGAAATGCCCACTGATATGAGACTGGTCATTTAGTCACTCAACAAGTATTTACTGAGCACTTTCCATGTGCCAAGCCCTGTGCTAGGTGCTGAGAATACACCAGTCAATAAACAAGCAATACCTCTGCCCGCATGGAACTTACAGTCTGAGGACAATACTCACATAAACACAGTTGGATTTAATTTCGTATCAGGATAGTGAGAATAGCTAGGTGAAGCCCCAACAATGAGCATAAAGGCCCTGGTAGGGGAACAGGTCTGGACTGTTTCCAAGCCAGAAAGAAAAGTCCCTATGGCTGAAGGAGGAGTGAGAGATGAGGCTGGAGCAGGGGCATCAGGGGCTGGAGTAGGTGAATGAAGGGCTCAGTGAGGAAAGAATGCAGGACAGTCAGTGGTGTTAAAGAGATCGGGTGAGTTAGTAGATATGGACTTAAAAAGAATCATGATGTTAGGTGAAAAAAGCGGCTAGGTAAAAGCACTCAGAACTCGGTCTCTTTAGTCCACACCCTCCATCTCGACCTCGACCTGGCATCTCGACCGCCTCCACATCCTGAGCCCATCCTCTCCCATACTCCCACACCCGAAACCACCAACTGTCTGGCCACTGCCAGTTGAGCCTAACTCTGTCGTCTTCTTGCAGGCCCCTGCACTTCCCTTTCATTGTGCCCAGTCTAGCTTTAAATTAAATGCACATGCATGTGTATCTTTATTAGTTTCTCTTTCCTTTCCATAAAAGCAGATCTGTGAGGGCAAGAACAATAACACTCTTACCTGTCATTGTATTTCCTGTGGCTGGCACTAAAAAGTATCAATAAATACTTGCTGAATGAATAAACAATTGAAGGTACCTTTCAAGTCACTGCTCCATTCACTTCACTTCGTGAAGGAACAGGAATGTAGGGAGCAGGGGCTCTATCTATGTTGAACGAACTTGATCCCATGAGTGAACTGCTGATTCCATGAGTGAAATCCTGGGAATACCTGAGAAACATGCTTCTCAGGGCTAGGACCCACTTGCTTCCCAGTATGGATATTAGATACCATTTCTTAGGACTCACCCGCAAAAATGACTGCTTCTCTCCACAGGCTTTGCATGTCCACTTGAGACTCTTTTTCACCTTCAATGAAATTTCAGAAATATATATATAGCTAATTACTTAAAACAGGTGGAACTGGATCAAAAAATAACTTTAAAAGATCAATGGGAAAAAATCAAGAGTCCAAAAACCAACCAACACACATATGAAAACTTAGTATATTACAAAGGTGCAGAAAGAACAGACTAATAAGTGGTGCTAGGAAAACCAGCTATCCATGTCAAACAAAATCAAGTTAGATCTCTACCAGGTGGGGTTCTTAAAAACAATTCCGTAACATTTAATTTTGATTTTAAAAACATTTTTATTTATTGATCTGAGAGAAACATCAATTTGTTGTTCCACTTGTTTATGAATTCATTGGTTGATTCTTGTATGTGCCCTGACTGGGGATCGAACCCCCAACCTTAGTGTGTTGGGATGACGCTCTAACCAACTGGACCTTAATTTTGATTCTTGATAAACCTGAGTAGATGGCTTCTCTTAGCATGATAAACTACCTTATACCCAGCTCCAAAGCTGTAGAATCACTACCAGTATCCCCATAAAAATAAAAAACAAGCCAAGGATCCCCACTATTATTTACCATTTTTTTCCTGGTTTAACCAGTGGAATTTAAAAAGAGAAGGTAATAAAAGGTATGAAAATTGGAAAGGAGAAAAAAAAAGAAAACCATCATTATTTATAGATGATACAATGAGTTGTGTTTGTTTTTTTTAAACGTGAAAACCCAAGAGAATCAAATGAAAAACTACCAAACCCAGTAAGACAATAGTGGCTGAGTACAAAATCGATATATCTTCAAAAATTAATACAGCTTTGCCCTGGCTGGGTTTTGCTCAGTGGTTAGTGTGTCAGCAGGCAGACTGAAGGGTCTCGGGTTTGATTCTGGTCAAGGGCATGTACCTCGATTGCAGGTTGGATTCCTGACTCCCAGTTGGGGGATGTGTAGGAGACAACCACTTGACCTGTCTCTCTCACATCAATGCTTCTCTCTTTTGATGTCTCTACCCCTCCCTTCCACTCCCTCTATAAAATCAATGGATTAACAAAAAACAAAAACAAGGAAACAAAAGAAAATTAATACAGCCTTTATGTAAGCAAACATCTAGTTAGAAAAAGATTCTATTTATGATAGTAATAAAGAAAATGTTACCAATGGGCACCAAAGTTGCTTGAAGAAATGGAATGAAATAGCATGCTTAACATACAGACATTAGTTTGGTTCTTAAAAGTTGATATGATTAATAACCTAATACAAAAACCACCAAGGTTTTCAGGAAGTACCCCCCATTCTAAGGTGGACTACAAATTCCAGTAGGAATATCCAATGACTGAGCAATTCCACTTCTCAGCATCTACTTCAAACACCATAAAAATACTGTGATTTTGTAGGGGTACATATTCAAGAAAGAAATGCATTTAAAGAAAATTAAAAGGTCTGGAAAGAAACACAGTGACTGATTAGTGGCTAGCTTGGGGCAGGCCAGAGGGTGGCTGGAAAGAGGTACCATGGTATAATAGGACCTCTGCAATTGACAGCCAGGGCACTGTCATTAGATAGAGACTACTTTAATGATACCTAATTCAGAGGTTGTTGAAATTAAATGAGATATGTGAAATTGCCTGGTACGCAGCACACTTGCAATTAAACTGTTAAATTAAACTTGCAATTAAAACCACTGAGCCATGCTGGCTGGGCTATGTGAAAATTTTTAAAATGGAAATAATTTCCATTTGTTTTCAATTACTAGAACACAGTCCAAAAACATCAAATAAAAAACAAATTTCTGAGCCCCTAAAGAAGTTTGATGCTATCCTTTTTCAGAGTACAGTGGATTACCAGATAACTAGGGAGAGGAAGGGGCTATCAGAAGGAGATACACCAAAAGCAGTGGTAGGTGACATCGAGCAGGAGATAGAATACCATCCAGTTAAGAATTCAGGGTGGCGCCCTGGCCAGGTGGCTCAGTTCGTTAGAGCATTAGCCAGACACCACGCCAAGATTGCAGGCTCAATCCCCAGTCAGGGCATCTACAAAAATCAACCAATGAATGCATAAGTAAGTAGAACGACAAACAGATGTTTCTCTCCCCTCCCCACCCCCTTCCTCTAAGATCATTTTTTAAAAAAAGGGTGGGGGAAAAATAGGTTTACAGTTTTGAGTACATGAAAGTTTATTCTTGTATTATTAGTAATTATTGTATTATTTTCCATTCGAGCTGTAAACCTACTTTTGCTCCACTCTGTACCTTAAGTGACACCCTCCATCTCTCGCTGTGGAAGTCAAGGAAGCAGTAGGTTATAAAAAATCCATTATCCTGCTTAAAATACTGGAGGTACGGGTTGTTTAGCCTTGGAGAGCAGGCGTCGTCCCTTCCTACGCGGACAAAGGCGGGCAGAGCCACGGAGTGACAGCAGGGGGCGCCCAAGCGTGTCTTAGTTTTAAAACTGCCATCTCCCCGGTATTTACACAGAAAAAGAGCCTCTTCGGGGGGTTAGGCTCAGCATGGAGGCCGCCTCCGCAGAAACCATTATCCCTGATTTATACGAATCTTACAACAACCAAAAACCGAAAAACGCCCAGAACAGCGTCCTGGCGAAGCGACATCAATAAAACCCAGTTCTCCAGATCGTCGTCATCTGCTCGGGCCCCAGGCACACCCCGTAAGCGAACGAGACGGCGCCCACGCGCGGGGGAAGGGCCTGGGCAGCGCGCGGGGAGGAGGCCCGGTCCCGGAGGGGGTAAGGCCGACG